AGCTCCCTTCAGCTCTTTACTCCGGGAGTTTGCTTTCTATAATTAGTCCCCCCTCCACCTTCCCGATGAGAAACGGGGGCGAAGACAAGGGGCCTCTTTACCGGGCCATCTATCACGATGGAAAGGGAAGTGGGGAAAAAAGGAAGGTGGAAAAAGGGAAGGCAGCAGCACGCCGCGCGCCGACTGATTCCGAGAGTCGCGTTCCTCGCTCTGTCTCTCTCGCACGCGCAGGGGACGCCCCGCGAGAGCGAGGGAGACAGGGCGACGAGAACGACCCTCGGAATCAGTCGGCAGCGGCGCCACAGGTGAAGAGCGATCCATCGCGCCGAGAGGTGTCCCGGGGGAAGCCTGGGGGCAATTACAGTGGCGGGGCAGTCCGCCAACGCCGCAACGCCGCAACAACAACAACAACCAAATAAGATGCCTAATTTGTTGCAAGTTACTGACCTCCAGGCCGGCCGGCCCGGTGTACGCAAACAGCTTGTTTCTCGGAGATGGCGTACCACTTTTTCCCCCGGCTCCCTTTGCGCACAGTCGTACGCGCCGCCGCCCCTCCTCAAACAGCTCGGAGCAAATATCTTACGTGTCGGTGAGCACACAAAAAGGCGAGGCGCTCTCGCGGCTCTCGCACATCGCGAAACTTCTTCAAAGTTGGCCGCCTGCCTCTCCATTCCACGGCCGGGCCGCCCTGCCACCGCCTTGCGATATACAAATCCATTCTCTCGCGACGACAGCAAGGCGGTGGTCAGCCGCGCTCGCAGTGGCTCGCAGTCAGCCAGAGAGACATGTGGAACACGTGTCAGCGTTGTCAGCGAGCGGCGAGAATGGCCGGCACACGCGCAGCATTCAAGCACACTGCACACGACAAGGCATCGCCGACAATGCCAACTGTCCGAAGAAAAAAAAACAACAACAACAACAAGCAGCGAGTCCGAATGACGTCCGCGCGGCCTTGTGCTTCCTAGAAGAACGGCGGGAACAGTTTTGGCGGGAACAGTTTTGGCGGGAAAAGCCGGTCGTCGCTGCAAGCAAACGCCAGAGCGCCCCATTTGACGCGCCACGCGCGGAATGACGATTCGCAACAGCACTATAAAGACTCGCCGTGTGTTTTGACGCGCACAAATTGTCGTGTCGACAGCGCGTTGACTTTTCAATAGCGCGGGTGCAGGGGATGTCCGACAGGCAGACAGCCGGACGGACAGACAGACAGACGGACGGACAGACGGACAGACAGAAAGACGGCGCCAGGCACCGCATCTGTTTCGACGCGTGTATATTTCGAGGGTTGGCCAGCCTGGCCCGGCCTGGCCAGCGGCGAGAGATATGGGGCGCTGTCGCGCTGCATATCGCCGCCCAGCATTCATTATTCGACGATCCCCTCCCCCTCCCCCTCCCCCACAGACAATGGCCAATGACAGCGAAGCAGCCACTTGGCGAGGAGCCACGCGACTGTTTTACTCATTCGTTCACACGGGGAAAGTAGGGGCGGAAAACAAAACAACAACAAAAAAATTAGCGGCCAAAACTTTGTTTTGCTTATTTTTTCTAATTTTCTTTTCTCTGTTTGCAAGGGCTAATATGTCGGGCGGGGCGCCCGCCGGCCGCGGCCTGGGCCTGGCCGGGCTGGCAGCACACTGGCAGCACTGGCCGTGGCACGTGGGCGTGCTTTTGTTTTTGGCGGCAGTTTGTCTCACTGTTGTTGTTGTTGTTGTTTGTTTTCTTTAAATCGCGAGATGTACGACGGTTGCCCCTGTACGCTCGTGCGGCCGTGTGTATGTGTGTGTGCGCAAACTCATGTGTGCGTGTGTGTAAGTGCATGTGTGCGCATGAGCACGGACTGTGCGTGTTTCTATTCATGGGAAGACTGTTGGCAGATCGGGCCATTTGCCAATGGCTGATTGGTTATAGTTACCGCGCCAACAGACACGGCAGACACAGCGGGGCTCGAGCACCGTCCACTCGATGCGTCTGCCCGACCGTCACACACACCGAGTACACGTTACTGCGCACTGCGTTTATACTCGCTCAGCAAAAAAAACTAATTAAGAAGGAATGCCTTCGAAAAATCGTGTTTTGGGCCGACTTTAAGCAGACACTGCGTCTGATCCGAGGCGGTATTTCGTCCTCCCTCAACGGGCATTTGGTCTTTGGACCTTCCTTTAGCATGCCTTTGTTACGGAGTGCGATTATGCGCCTTAGTTTCGGAGCTGTACTCGCTCAAAGTTGATCAAAGCGGTCAAAAATGCCTTTGAAAAATCGTGTTTTGGGCCGACTTTAAGCAGACACTGCGTCTGATCCGAGGCGGTATTTCGTCCTCCCTCAACGGGCATTTGGTCTTTGGACCTTCCTTTAGCATACCTTTGTGACGGAGTGCGATTATCCTTCTTAGTTTCGGAGCTGTACTCGCTCAAAGTTGATCAAAACGGTCAAAAATGCCTTGAAAGTCGGCCCAAAACGCATTTGTGGCCGTTTTGATCAACTTTGAGACAATACTGCTCCCAAACTAAGGCGGATAATCGCACTCCGTAACAAAGGCATGCTAAAGGAAGGTCCAAAGACCAAATGCCCGTTGAAAAAGTGCGAAGGCCCGCCTCGGATCAGACGCAGTGTCTGCTTAAAGTCGGCCCAAAACACGATTTTTCAAAGGCATTTTTGACCGCTTTGATCAACTTTGAGCGAGTACAGCTCCCAAACTAAGGCGCATAATCGCACTCCGTAACAAAGGCATGCTAAAGGAAGGTCCAAAGACCAAATGCCCGTTGAAAAAGTGCGAAGGCCCGCCTCGGATCAGACGCAGTGTCTGCTTAAAGTCGGCCCAAAACACGATTTTTCAAAGGCATTTTTGACCGAGGTGTCCCGTGAGGTTGCGAAATTTTTCCTAGGCGGCGCGGAAATATTTGGCTACAAATTTGGGGTCGCGATCCGAAAAAGGTTGAGCACCGCTGGGCTAGGCTGCCGAGGCCAAGGCTGCGGCGCTCGGCCCGGACTGCTGACGGTTGCGGCAATGTCCTCACCGATACGGCTGGGCCAAGACGAGGCTGGACGAAGCTGGCTGGCTGTCCGTCCATCAGCCAACTTTTCCAGAGACAAACTTAGTTTCTGTTCCCGAAGTCAAGAATGGGCTTTGAGTGGAATTAGGGGTTTTGTATTATTTACAGCAGCCTCCGTATTATTTAGAGCGCCTCTCCGTCTGTCTCTGCCCGCCTCTGTCTGCCCTCATCCACGTTGCCGCGCCGGCCTCCGTTCGGCGGAGAGGCGGCAGGCGACAGAAAGCGGCCACGCCCGCGGGTTCAACCCCCGGTCGCGGCGGACCACACAAATCAAATTAAAGGCCGACCCGGAAACGCGAAGCACGGCAAAACGAGTGTTGCGAATCGCACACCGGAGGCAGCGCGTCGAAGAGGCAGGTCTTAAGACCAACCGCCGCGAATTAGATTAAAGGCCGGGAACGGGAACGCGAAGCATCGAGTGGGAAGGAGAGGGTGCAGCGGCGGGTAACCTAAACGCCACGGCACGGAACGCGGCGCAGGGTGCTACACGCGGCGCCACATTCTAGGCCGGGGCGCACGCCCATCCCCCTCCACCTCCCCCTCCCCCTACGCACCCCTGGTGCTGCCTGGCATCCAGAAAGAGAGAACTGGGTTGCACCGAATGGCCGGCAGTATTTTGTCAACAAATTACCCCCATGCGAGACAAGGGCGGGACGGCGAAACTTCTGAATCCCCACCAACGACCCGGCGACACACACATACACACAGTCTCTCTCTCTCTCACACACACACACACACACACACACACACACACACACACACACACACACACACACACAAGTGCGCGCGACGCGTGCATACATTTGCCACACAGAGACGGGCACACATCCATACGGGGCGCGGTCTCGATCGAAGTTCCAAAATTCGGACTGGCGGAAAGGAGTGACCCGTGCGAGGTGGGAGGTGGCTCAAAGTTTGACGCGGTGCAGTCCGCTCCGCACAGTGCGGGTCAGCAGACCAGTGGAGGCGGCCAAAATTCTAGACGCGTTTTGAGCTCGAACCGAACGTGTGTCCCTACCAATGGATTGCTCTCCGGACGAGGAATCCGTTGGTGGGGTCACACGTTCGTTCCGAGTCCTGTTCGGCAACTCTGGAGCTCATAACGCTTCTGGAATTTTTTGGCCGCCTCCGCCGGTCTTCTGGCCCACTGTATCCCGTCTGCTGCTGCCACTCGGTGCTGCCACTAACGGGCGGTTTCGCTATGATTTTAACGCAGCGAGCTGAGCCGCCGTTTCAGTGGCCGAGCGGATGGCCGAGGCCGTAGTGGAGGCTTTGCGCCGGGACTAGGCGGATTAGGCCGTGGCGCCGTGGCACTGTAAAACCAGCCGGAGGCGCGGCAAGCGGTCCTGGTGCACTGGTAACCGCGGACGAGGCCGTTTCAATCGCTGCGGTCCCTACAAAGTAGGAGCATGCTGTCTACACGGCGACCGATCCGACGGTCAAACAGGGCGCCTCTGACCCTCACGTCGGGGGATGCAGGCTGATGCCGAGCACTGTCGCTCTGTCTCTCTCGCTCCGCGGGGCGGACCGTGGAGGTGCGAGAGAGACCTCTGGCGAGCAGAGGGCAGCGGTCCCCGGCCATCGTAAACACGGGCTGGACCCGAGCGTGGTCCGTGAGCCGGACGGAGCCCCCAGCCGCCCCCAGCGTGCGTGCGGGGACACGGGGACCCGGGGACATCGCTTCGCTTGTTTCAGGGGCGGAACCCCGCTGGAAGAGGAACCGGGCCGAACTCTTGCATGTGTGTGAGGTCGGAGGTTTCAGCCGCCTTCCCGCAGGAGAGGGTTCAAAATATCCGCCGGTTTGCAACCCCCGGCTATCGCGGCCGACCGGCTAACCGACCACGCCGGCGCGGGCGGCTGGTTCGAGCAGAAGGTGCGCGGCGACCTGGCCACGATGTCGTCGATGCGCGTAATCCTGGTTGCTGCCGTGGTGCGCGGGGCGGTGCGTACCTGCATAGATGAGGGCCATGAGCTGCAGTAGCGCCACCACCACGGGCCGGCCGTGCGACGACCCCCGCCGCCGGCGGTACGACGCCATGGCCTGCAGGGCACCCTGCAGGGCCTGCAGGGCCTCGGGGCTCGCGACGCCGAGCACGCGGACGCGGTGCGCACCGGTCCTGTGGGGGCGGAGAGCGCACGGCGCGTTGGCGGACGGGGGGTTGGTGCGGGACTGGAGGCCTGGCTTGCGCGGCGCGGCGCTGGCGGACCGGAGGCGGCAGGACGCGGTGGGGGTGGGGTGGGGCGCGGCGGCGCGGCGGGGCGGCGGGGCGTCGGTAGGCGTCGAGCTGTCTGCGTCGCCACGCCGCCCTGGCCGCCCTGCGTCCTGCGTCCTGCGTGCCGCCCCGATGGGCCCGACGGCCGCCCCGGTGCGATTTCGTGCAGAGGGACCAGGGGATGCACTTTGCTTGCTTTGCTGCAGCACTGCAAAGGGGACTGCAGCGCCGCGGCGGGGGCGGCACGCCGGGGGCGGCAGCGCCCTGGGGTCCGGTTTCCTCCTCGGCCCACCCGCCGCCGTGCCGTGAGCCATCAGTTTCAGTTTATTTTATTTATAGCAAAACTTTTGATTTTAAACGCTGGCGTCTTATCTCGCCGTGAAACAGCCCCTCTCCGGTACAGCAGTTCGCAAACGATAGTGATTCCGCTGGTTTGGAAGGTCCCGGCGGGTAACAAGTGAAATATGGTGTGTAGTAGCATAGCTAGCAGGGCTGCGAGAAAAATTGTGAACCTCGACGAAAAGGACGGAACGCGCTGAGTGAAAAATGACCATTTCCTTGTTCGAGTTCCTGGAATCGCGCCGACGGCAGCGTGGCGAGAACGGCGACACGGCGACCAATCCATACATCCTAACAACCCTTTGGTTTCCTTGCGGTCCGAGGCGGGCTCCGTCTCAGCAAGGGCCTGCAGGGCCAGTAGGGCGCAGGGCTTGTAGGGCGCAGGGCCTACAGCGGCCTGGCAGGCCTGGCCCTTCGGCCTCGCCACGCTTGCCACGCTCACCCCGCGGGAAGATGGGTTCGGGGTCGTTAGGTTTGGACCGGCCCTGCCGCAGCCTGCCTGCCGACTTGCTGCGTGTAAGCAGGGGCAGGGGGCGCGGAGGGCGGGGCGGGTGGAGCGCCCAGGATGCTGGCGGGGCGGGGCGGGGCGGGGCGGGCGCGGCGGGGCGCGGCGGGCGGGGCGCGCCCAGAGGCGGAGCGGTGCGCCGCGGCCCGCCCGACAAGGAATCGCACTCTACTCGTAAACAGCCATTTTCATATTAGAGGAGCGCGCCCGCCCCGCCGCGCCCGCCCGCCCCGCCCCGCCGCGCCACGGCGCCCTCCGCCGTACACGGGACGCGTCGAGGCGGGGCAGGCGGGGCCAGAACGACGCACCGCGGGGCTGCGCGGCGGCGGGGCGCGGCGCTCCTGCGGCACCCCGCGGCACCCTACACAGTTACACAACCACCATATGCCAGGCAACGCCAGCCAGGCGACGCTAGGACCTGCCAGGACCTCCACGGCACCAGAGAGCGAGAGAGATGGATACAGTGGGGCGAGAGAGACGGAGAGCACTCTCTGTCCCCACTCACGCTCGCGGCGCTCCGCGGTCCCGGTCCTGCGGTCCTGCAGGCTGAGAGTCGTTTCCGTCGCTCTGTCTCTCTCGCGCCAGTACGCGCCCGTGAGTGCGAGAGAGACTGCCGCTCGTACGGCCCCGAGGGCCCCGAGGGCCACGGCATGCGGTCATTACTCGAGGCATGATCCCAATTCCTGCTGGGCCCGCCCTCGGCCCGACCGGCACACTGTACAGTAGCACTGCGGGCACTGGACCGTCTTCTCGGCGTCCTGGTGGCTCTGGTGTCCGCGCGAGGCGGGGTCCTCGCGCCCCATTACCACCAAATTAATTGATGATGGAGAGAGAGCACACACGTCGCGATAGCGGCGGGGCAGGGCGGGGCAGGCGTGGGCCGCATGAATAGTAAATGGAGGACACACACTCCCCCCCCCCTTCCCCCTGCCGTACACATGCACACACACACACACACACACACACGTGCACGCGCGCACGCACACACGCACTTGCTGCAGCGGTTGATGTGAGATGTGGGTGGGGTGAGAAACGTCCGCTTCTCTAGTCAAGCAGGGCGTTAACGACAACACCGCACGCCCCCCCCCTCCCCCTGCCCCTTTCCCCCGGTTCCTTGACCAATGGTCCGTGTGTCCGAGTCGCCGGGGCTGCGCTGGGTTGCGCCATGACTGCGCCGGCAGTGCCCGGCAGCCCTGCACTAACCCCAGTCACCCCAGTCAGCACATAGCCCGGTAATTAGTTTACTTACGCGCAAACACGTAGCCCGCGGCTCGATTCCCCTCCCCCCCCCTTCCTTTTCACGCCCTTCCGCGGCTCCGACTCCGAGTCAAGCGGTTGACCCACCCAACCCACCCCCCGCCCCCGCGCCATCTGACTCCACCGCGGAGCGGAACATCGCCGGCCGACCATTTATAACAATCTAACCGCTGCCGCCCCCTTCCCTCTCCCCCTCCCCCTTTCGCCGGAGTCAGGCCGCCCAGCATGCGCCCAGCGCGCTGCTGGTCATGCTTCAACCCAAAAAGGGAATTCAAGTCGCCCGGATTTTACGGAAAGCACCACAGGAGTCGTTAGCGGCGGCAGCGGCGGCGGCAGCAGCAGCGTTCTGATTTCTTGAATGTTTGTTATGTTGTTGTTAAGTTGCTTTTTGAAAAAAAAAAAAAAAAAGGGGCGCCTTCGAAATTTTTGTTTAGGTTTTATAGCTAATTTTTTTGTTTGTTTGAATGTCGATAACGAAGGGAGGGAAGTCAATGAAACGGAAGTGAGGAAGGTGTGTCGGTCTTCAATCGCTTTTCGAACTCGGATCCCTTTTAGCGCGGTTTCAGAGGTGGCCAACCTTCTGGCGTAAAATTGCGGTAGGAGGGCGGTACCGTCGCCTTCCCTTTTCATGTCGAGCCAAAATTTACTAATGACGCGATTTCATGAGCTTGTCTTCATGGTCTGCCTTCGTCGAAAAGAGTCATTCGGAGGTGAGAACTTATACGAAAAGCCGCTGCAAGTCTGCCGAGGTTGCCTTTCCCGCCATTGTGCATTTGTTTTGTGCCCCTAAAGAAAAACAAAACAAAACCAATGTGGCGGTTGTGGTGGTTTGACAGTTTGCCTTCGACTCGCGTCAACTGGATGAAAACGAGGAACATATTCCTTTCCCGTTGGTCTTTGCCACCAACAGACTCGCCCACTGGGACCGGGAAGTCGCCGCCCTCCGACTGAGATGGAGGGGAACAGCACGACCACGGTTTGTTTCGCGCGAAAATGAAGTTATTGTGTCTGTGTCGTATCGATCGGTCACCCCCAGGCACCTTAGTACCTTCGTTCCTATACTTTTGCTTCGTTGTCGCCGTTTCCTTGATTTGTAATAAATTATCTCTGTCGCAAGTGATTTACCATGTGCTCGTTTTGGACCACTCAGCGCTGTTAAATAACCTTATCTTGGTTGTATGTACAAGAAAGCCAAGCTGCAATTTTGCAGGCCCAAGATAGCATAGAATAAAACTTAATCCATAGTTCAATTGATGAAATCGAACAAAATATCTTAGCCTTGGATCAGCTGGCTCTCATTGTCTTGTTTTCGCACGAGTGGTGTGCTCCACTGAACATGAAAGTTGGTCACTTCAATGTCGTCAATGTCTTACCTCAGAGTGACTGTTCATATACTTTTCTGCATTGTTAGTCTAAGTTACAAAAAACATCCACCTTATTTTGAAACACTGTGCAGGTGTAGCAGTAGCTTAATTAATGGAGCAGAAATGTAGCACTGTTTAAAATGGAGAAGTTGCATATAATAAAGAGTGTCTGCTTTCAGTGAGCGTTTGAATCAACATACAAGCTGTATGCTCTCAATGGAAGAGGTGATGAAATATGAAGTCCATGGAAAGCCAAAGCCCATAAGATTTCGAAGATCTAGCAAGGAATACTCTAGATCATTTTTCGATCATTGGCAGAAACCTTTGCCGTTTCATTCAATCTTCTGCAAGGAAACAGATATGAATGCTGATGCAAATATTACGAAGAGAAAGTGCCCTCTTGAAGCAGGAGAAGAACATACTGTTGCGAGTAGTTCGTCTCATGAATGCATGACTCGACCATGTGCTTGCCCTGATCCTGGCAAATCAAAAGAAATGTGTGTCATAAAGAAAGTTGAAAATTGGCTTCTGGGCAAGTGTTTGGTGAGTGGCATGGCATTCTAGATTCTTCAAAACAGCCTCAAGAATTTATTTATAATTTTTATATTTTACAAGTAAAAGAACCGAATAATTTTTGTATGCTTATTTCTCTTTTGTTTGTAGTTAATTTATTTTTTACTGTTGTCATTGGTCTTGTGCCATTGTTAATACACAGTTTTAATTTATCTTTTGGCTGATTTTGCTGGAGCATGAAATGTACTCGCCACCAAGTCTGCACCTTGCTTAAATCAAACGTTTACTGTTCCAGACACTGCTGGTTGTGGCAACTGTTTCTCTTTATTTGATTTTGGTGACATTGCTACTTTAAGTTTCCTGAATGCATTTGACTTGATATTTGTTAGTTTTAGTCAGTTGTGCTGTTCATTTTGCATGACATTTTTTCTTGAATTACTGTGATAATGTGTTAAGACCAATTATGTGGCCTCCAGGTATTTTACCTGCATTTTGCTTTACAGGACCCTGTAGAAACTGAGGACATGGATGTTGATGATATAGAAGTTCTTCCAAGTATGCCAAAATGGCCCCCAAATGTAAATAAAAGACCAGAGCTGGAGGAACATGCAGGTAAGCCACTTCTATGTTTACAATGCATTGTCCTATGTTTTACTGAAGGTGTACTGTATTATAATCTTGTTGCTTTCAGAGTCATCTTTACCCCCTTCAGCTCTCTTAAAGGAAATTGAAGGTGCCCTTTATCCTGTTTACTATCTTAATGCTAGAATTATAGACATTGAACCTAGACAGTCGGGTAAGTAAAGCCTTAAAAATGTGTCATGTGTGCCAGCGATTCAATTTTGTTGGATGCATCATAATTTTTTCCCCCTCTTGTAGAGTTACAGTTTGTTCGAGGGCATTGTCAGTATTATTCATGTAATGCAACTGTCACACATATAAACTGGGCTGAAGCAGGACCATTAACATTTGGAAAACTAGTAAGACCTTATTGCCCACAGTGCTGCCAAATAAGTGAGTACTAGCCACCTAGCCAATAAAACTTGTCTACTACACTGTCTTGATTTTTGGATTGATTAATATGGTATGTTGTGTCTCTCAGGGCGGAAGAGGTACTTAAACTTGTTTTTTCATCTGGTACTAGTTGTTGAAGATAACTTGGGTGGAATTACTAAAATTATTATAGAAAGAAATGAGGCAGTTCATTTCTTTGGTAAGTGTATTTTTTATTTGAGATTTTAAAATTGAAATAATTTTACTTTTTTGACACCTTTTCCATTTTAATGCTTTTTCTTATAGGACTAACGGTTTACCGATTTTTAACCGATAGTAAACGAAGGCAAAAGGTTAAAGAAATGCTCGAAAACCTTCTGCAAGCAAGCAGTGCCCCTCGTTCTGCTCCAGTTCCTGGCCTCACATTTGATGTTCGCATCATGCCTATTGCTCAAGACAAAAATGAGGCAGTGAAATTTTACATGTATGGGGACAATCCACCATTATTTATGCTAGACAAAATGTCTAGAAGTTAGAAAAAAGTTCTAGTAAAGGTGAAACAAGTTGGCACTTCCTCTCTTTTTATTGTGCAGTCAAGTAATCAAAACAGCATTCTGACTTTTTTTCAAACTTTTAGTTTTGTGAATTGTTGAAGGTATTGTTTTTTATTCGATGAATAACAGCTTAACTGGAAATGTGCCACAAATGTTGAATGTAGCACAGTGGAGAAAACTAATGGAGTACGGTTTTTATCTACTTTAATAATAAGCTGTGATATTAATTATTTAGTGTTACTCATTTTCTGAGAATTAAGAGGCCTATGTTGTACTGAGCAACTAAATTAAGATGGCAGGTCTTTTTGTTGATTTAGGTAGAAGAAAGAAATACTGGGTTGCATAAAGATGTTGACTCCAGTATTCAGTACTTATACTTATGGACAATCTCTCACCAGTCAACGTGCATGGCTTCCAATGTTACCTTGCTATGTGATAAAAGTGGGTTCTGAACTCGAGTTTTTTTGCCTTCAAGAGTAAATTAGCGAGTTCTTTCAAAATGTCTGTTCATGTTAGATTTTGTACTAAGTATAAATTGTTAAATGTCAGTCCAGACCGTTTCTAATAATAGTGTTAAATGATTCTTTAAAGCCAACCTCTAAACTTGGAAGAAATTAAAGGACTCTTCTTAGTGTACATAAATTAGTTTATTTTGGTTTTAACCCTTTCAATATGAGATTACGTGGAGACAGAACTGGATCAAATCCAGGAATAACCAAACCACTAACTCCTGTAAAATACAAGTTATATACAGATTGGATGTGTGCACATCACTGAATATTATCTCACCTGTATAAGCATTACTTACCACTCTCTTGTATGAAAAGCAAGCGATCCCATATAACAGCAGTTTCAACCAACGGTGCAAGCAATAGACGCAAGGTGTACAAGACAACAACGTCTTTCCATCTCTCTAATTTCTGGACAGTATCAGGGGAGGTCATTTCTGTTGGTGGAATTATTACATCAATCCTATTGAGGGCTCTCGTGGCATATCTGCAATTAAAACCGATTATATTTAGTAACCACAGAGCTTTCTAAAACAGCCTCCTATATACATCTTGTGACAAAACTTTACGTTGAAAAGTCCATTTCATCAAAATGTTTGACACTTCTCAAGCCAATGCGTTTCATTTCTGGATTATACTTAGTTATGAGCTTTTCCAAAACTGCTCTGTAACAGTGGATTTTCAGAACTTCATATTGTTGTTTTTCCAACCGTTGACAATACGCTTCTAAAGCATGACATGACAACTCTAATGCTTCATATGACAAGTTGGTTAACTCTTCAGGAAGAGCTAGAAAGAAATTGCTGAGAGGATAGCTCCGTAATTCATCACAGCTGTCGAGAAACAAATAAAAATTACACTGATTTATGTAAGGATACAATAATCAGAAAGAAAGAGGTGATAAACTCATGAACTTACGGATTACAGCTTAGCTTCATATAGCAGCAACTTGCTATGCATATGAATTTTGCTTCATTTAAATTTAAAAAAAGATGAAGCAATGTAGCTGCTAAATCTCCACATGGGTGGAGACCAACAATACCAAATGACACAGTCTCATCAGAGTTCTTATTTAATTTGTTAAAGACTAGCTGAAAAAAAAAATTAATTACCAAATTAATTTTTAAATAAAACCTTTCCATTTCTGAGTAAAGGTAAGCTGCTGATTACTTTGATAAACATAGCTCTTTAAATGTACCAGTGTAACCAGCAACACATTTATCACCTACTTCTCTAAACTGATGGAGGGCTTCATCACTGCGGCCTACAGTGATATCTATGTATTCAGGGCAAGGAAGAGTATCAACATACGATTTCCCTAAATATTTAGATGCTGTATACTCTATCTTCTTATCGATCTCTCTGAAGAAATAAGAATATATTAACGTATTTGCAGCCAGAATGTAACTTTGAAAAAATGATGCTATACCTTGCAGAAGAAATGAGATCGCTCTGAGCTTCCACACAGCACACATCCAGTCCATAGCCATACGATAGCAGCCGAGTTAAATGGCCTTTGCCTCCTCCAACGTCGACAACACAGGTAACATTGCTGTCCAGGGCTGCTTTTGCGCAGAGTTTCGCCATGACAACAGTTTCGTGTTGCTTTTTGGGCTTGACATGCCTAACAAATAACTGTCTCAAGTTTTCATGCCGGAGGCACTCCGTTTCCATGCCAGCCCTGAGCGTCTTCTTTAAAGAAGTGACTCCACCAGAGTTGATGTTGCTAGGATCGCTTAGATCCAATTGTGATCGGGGTATTGAGAGAGCTTTGACAGAAGCGCGCAGGGATAGCAATGACAATGGCCACACACGCTCGCATTTGCTGCAAAGATCGGGAAAAAATTATCATCTGTACTGCATAACTGTATAGTTAAATAATTATTTAGTCATGTTAATTTACATCATAAGTTTTACTTGTCTGAAATTTTCAGAAATTGCATACCTTTCAGTCATAGAGATCCAGCTCCCCAGTTCTTCGAGTGAGGTGTCATGAAGGGTCTCTCTCCATGATAACGGTAAAAGGCCCCAATGATTTTCTGTAAAGAAATCCTGAAACAAGAAGACTTTAAAATACAATCATATACACCAATTTCATGTAAACAGGTAGCAGAAGCCAAAGGCAGGAGAAATCCAACCTACACCTTAGCAGTTACTACAGCTTGACAGGTGTCCAGAAGCATGTAAAATATGTCTACTTACTAAAACAAACGCGTCTAACAGCCACTTATAGTGCTGAATGAGTTTTAGACATTTCAAGGCACTAGTTTCCTCCCGGCTCAAATTCCTCATGTCGTCCAGGTCAGCCAGGTGTTCTGTTGACATCGTCGGCAGTGCGAATAGACAGTCGCCACTGCGAATAACGTACGGGGAAGTTCATCTTTGCGCCGCCAGAGCGCGATGCGTGCGTTTGCCGTCTAAACAACCGGCCGTTTCAAATCTGTCGGGCCTTACGTTGAACCGTTCCATGGGTTCGAAGCTCAGACTGCCTTTTCATAGTTGAGCTCGATGACGTGGAGCCGAGGGGGTAAACACTTCAAGAAATCGTGTACAGACCACTCGGTATTACGCTGTATTACGGGTGTATTACACGTGTATTACGGCCCTAAAATGCCCAAATTTGGCACATTTGACCCAAAAATGGTACTACTATCACGTGTATTACGCGTAATACACGGTTTTTGTGTACAGGGTATTACGCGAGTGGTTACCCCCTCGCGTGGAGCCTTGTCTAACGCTGTACTACGTCACCAAAAAAGAGTGTCTGGCGCGCTGTGCGGGCAACCTCCTTCCCGACCGCGTCACTTCGGACACGTGGAACCTTGTATACTTTTCTTTCCGGATCGACGTGTCTTTTTGCTTTTCCTCTACCCGTGGGGGGTGACAGTCAAGTGGTCGTCGGTGCCGCCGGCTCCGCTATCGGGCAGCTGTGCCAAGCTGTGCATGCTCGACAGATTGTTGTTATCTGCCCAGACCGGCCGTCGTCGAGTCTGATTTAAATTATGTATGAACTCATACCATTTGTACCAGCAAACATGGGCTATGCGCCGATTGAAAGTACCACACTACCATCCTTAGCAACCAAAATTAATGAGTTTGTTCTCGCCTTAAAAGGCCTTTTCAGAGTATAGACTGTCCGTGTCATTTCTTCCTTTTTTTATCGTTTTAAGCGCTGACACCTGCGGGTAAGGTTCTGGTTGTAGGTATGCACAAGTGTCACTACTGTGCCAAAAAAAATGAGTAAAGAAAAAATAAAGGAGTAAGGTCTTTTTTTCACGTTTTGCATAACTTAGGGATATTTTGGCAGCTGCGACTGGTTTCGGATTCTAGCATCGGGACACACGATTATCGCCGTCTGCTTTATCGAGCCACTCGGTCCCCGGTCGGACGGCAGCCTCATTCCGTCTCCCTCCCACACCAGGGGAACAAGGGGGCGTCCCGTGCAGGTGCGAGAGAGACGGGTGGCTCGGCAGGGCCGGCAGAGGGCCGGCACGGCTACCGCGTCTGGTGACAGCTCAGTCCCCTCGAGACTCGCTCCCAACAAGCCCGGCCCCCTGCCTGCCACCTTGCCCTGCCTGTCACCATGGCGATCGGCGAGAGCCTCGCGCTCGGGACGGAGCTCAAGGAGCTGCGCTTCCAAGACGTGAGTCCTTGCTGGTCCTTTGGTCCTCCAGCGTGCAGCCCCGCGATGACGTAACGCGACGCGGATCGCTTAACCCGCCGGCTGTCTTTGCTGTCCCCGCAGTCGGCAGATTGGTGGGTCAAGTGGAACGACCCGGCGTTCCTGTGGAAGACCCAGCCCACCTACCTGCTGGCGCAGGCCGTCTACCTCTTCGGAGCGCTCATACCTTGATCCACGGTAAACCAGTCTCCTCGTTTCTTAAGTTTTCTAAACTTTACAAATATCGCAAATTTTCTCGACATTTCATTTATTTATTTTGATTTTGTAAACTTGCCACTTGCACCAGCGCTCACCTCAAGAGGCAGATGGCCGTACCTGTGGTTCGCCACCGTGTTCCACGGCCTGGTCGTGGAGGCCCTGTCCTACTTCCTGCCCGACGTGGACAACTTCTGGCACTCGCAGACGCCCCTCATGTTCCTGGGCCGCCGCCTGCCCGTGCACATCATGGTCTTGTGTGAGTTCAATCGCCAGGTGTGGCCGGGGTGTGGCGGCGAGAGAGAACGGCCACTCCACTTGAACCCTACAGTACCGGGTAGAGATAGTGCTCCGGCGTCGGATTTCAACACGAGCGGTTTTCGCGTGCACCTGCGACGCCGGGCCGGGATGGAGCGAGGCGGCGAGGTGGCGCGCCTGTGAAGTCGAGGGTAGGCAACCCCGGTCGCGCGACACAGCGGCGCCCGGCGGCTGGCCCACCCCGCAGGCGTTCGACGTGTTGTCTCACGCTGTCTCGCTTGCTCTTGCAGACCCCTGCTTCATCTACCAGGCCGCGGCCGCCGTGTCCAAGCTGCGTCTGCCGCGCTGGGCCGAGCCCTTCGCCGGTGAGTCTCTCTCTCTCTCCCACTTTAGCATCGCTGCGGCGTCTCTCTCTTGACCTTGGCAATGTGCGCGCAGTGGGCCTGACCGTGGTGCTGATCGACCTCCCCTACGACATCATGTGCGTCAAGTTCGTGCACTGGACGTGGCACGACACGGACCCCAACATCGTGGACCGCCACTACTGGGTGCCCTGGAACTCGTACTACTTCCACGCCACCTTCGCGGCGGGCTTCATGATGTGGTTCCACATGACGCGTGGCTCTGAGCACCGCTGGCAGCCAGCCAGGTATGTCGGCTTCACTTTCCCGCAATTTGTAAAATTTCTCCAAATTGGCAATTTTTTAATTTTTTTGCAGCGTTGGCAAGGACTTGCTCAATATGGTGCTGGCCTCCCTGTTCGGCACCCCCACCGGCGTCTTCGTCTTCACCATCCTGTACCACCCGATGCACGACCTGTACAAGGTCCACTCCGAGGTCATCTTCTTCGCGCTGTTCGCCGTCTTCCTGTCCCTGTCCTGGGCCGGCAGCCACTCCGTCAAGGACACCCTGGCGCCCGCCAAGGGCAAGTAGAGCTCGTTGTCTAGTCACGCCGGCGGTCCACAGTGGGCCGGAAGACCGGTGTAGGGCAGGCGGCCGAAACTCTAGACGCGATTTGAGCGCCCCAGTCGCTAACCAGGACTCGAACCGACCGTGTGACCCCACCAACGGATTCCTCGTTCGGAGAGCAATCCATTGGTGGGGTCACACGTTCGGTTCGAGTTCCATTTACCGACGTCGAGAATTTTGGCCGTCTCCACCGGTCCTGGTTCCTAACCTAACCTGGTGGTGTGACTGCAGGCGAGAAGCGGGTGACCTGGCGTACGGCGCTGCTGCTGCTGCACCTGGTGGTGCACTACTCGCTGTGGGTGTGGATGGCGGCCTTCGGCCACCCCGAGCGCGAGGTGTCCACCGGCCTGCACGAGACGCTGGGCAACTGCAAGGAGATGGTGCCCCTTCAGACGGCCTCCGGACTGGTGAGTGTACTTTTTGCTGCGCGCGTCAGCCTCTCTCACTCCCACACTGTAACTTGTCGGTCCGGCCGCAGGTCCTGGAGAAGCGCAAGTACCTCTGCAAGACGGACTACGACGAGAAGTACTTCGACTTCCACTGCCTGCCGGGCGGCAAGGCGCCCAAGGACGGCGCGCACTGGTACTCCATCTGCGGCACGCCCTTCGAGAACCGCGCCGAGTACGTGCTCGTCATCGGCGCCGCCACCGTGGCCGCCGCCGTCGTCTTCTTCAACATGCACTTCCGGTCGGCGGGCGACGCCGTCTACCGGCAGGTCCGGGGGCAGCCGGCCAAGAGCAAGCTCAAGACCAAGTAGAGGACACCAGTTATCGAGTTGTTGTTTTGATACTTTTTTTGGCAAAATACAAAGTTTATGTTTTTCTAAAAAAAATAGTACAAAGCAACTTTTTTCGTCTCCCGATTCGGTGAACACTTACAGCAGCGCCCGTTGCTCAACAGTCAAGGTGACTGCGACACGGCTCTACCAACATTTATCATACAGGACAGGTATATGTACACACAGACACAGACGCGCGGGTGCCGCGAGACTCCCACACAGATTTACACCAAAAGTTCCTCCCTCCGAATCCCCTCTGTACACAGCCGCGTTGCATTTCAGGTAGTCCTGGGCTTATCACGTGACCTGGGCAAACGGAGCCGCACCATAAAGTTGTTGACTACCGACACGGCGCGACACCCTGGCAACCGGGTACCGGGCGGGTACCCGCTGCACCCAGAGGAGGGGGAGATTCGTCGAGTACACACGCCGGGCACTCTTCTGAGTGATTCCGTGCGGTGCGGCCGTCGGTCTGTCTCTCTCGCACCCACACGGGACGTCCCGTGAGTGCGAGAGAGAGGGAGAGAGGCCGTCCGCTGGCTGCGTGGCGAGGCCGGCGAGGGTCTTGAGGGCGGCCTTCCCCAGGAGCGCCGTGGCTGCCGTGGCACTCTGGGTGCCGCGTAGGTCAGCGCACTGACGCGATAGCGGGAACAGCTGCCTGGGGGGCAAGGGGCAAGGTCACGCTGTGGTGCCTTGACAGTGGCTTAGCCACCGGGGCCCAAGGACGGGGCGGCGCCGCCACGGCTACACCGGGGGCGTGGAGGGCGTCTTGGCCGTGAGCGCCGCCTGGGCGACCGCCCGGCGCGCGGCCCGGCGCCTTGCCTTCTCCGTCAGGAACGTGACGTTGTTGCGGAAGTAGTCCTCGATCTCCGGCAGCGTCCGGCCGCGCGTCTCCGGCAGGAACACGAACACGAACACGGCGGACAGCGCCGAGACCGCGGCGAACAGGTACTGGATGCCGGCGGCGCCGCCTGCAACGCACAATGGGACGTCAGTGGACCCTAGCGCCCCGTGAGTGCGAGAGACGAGGCGGCGTACTTACCGACGAGGTCGTTGAGGATGGGGTAGACCTGCAGCATGGCGAACATGAGGATGTGGGCCATGCTGGAGTTGAAGGGCTGGGCGAGGCTGCGCACCTCGTGCGGGAACAGCTCGGCCATCATGGACCAGGGGATGGTCTGCCAGCCCAGACAGCCCAGCGCGATGTACCCCAGCAGCCCCGCCACCACCCACATGGAGGACACCGAGCCCGGCTCTGCGGGAGGGAAAGACGATTCACGCCAGAACTTTCACCAAAAACAATCTGCTTTTGTTTATTTGAGTGCCGACCTTGCAGGATGCACATGGTCGCGTAGCCCGACATCGTCATGAAGACCGTCTGGCCCACGGACGACAGCAGCATGAGGGTCCGCCGGCCGAACTTGGTCATGACGAGCGACACCGTGGTGCAGCCGATGAAGCGCACCACGCCGATCAGGATGGTGGCCATGTAGGCGTCGATGGTGCTCCCGGTTTCCTGTCAACGCCACGCGGAAATGAGCGCGCCAGAGTCAACATGAGTCAACGGCGGCGCGTGGCGTAGCGTGTGTGTGTGTGTGAGTGTGTCTCGGTATCTAGAGGCGGGGAAAACCGCTAGCGCCCCGCCGACCGGCCCGGCCGGCCGACCCACCTGGAAGAAGGTGACGGCGTAGTAGATGGTGATGTAGACGCCCACGACCTGCTGGATGACGAACATGGCGAAGACGAGGATGAGGGGCTTGTAGCCCAGGGGGTTGGTGAACAGCAGGCGGCTCACGTGCCAGATCGAGTTGCCGCCCTTGGCCGACGCGGAGGGCCCCGACAGCACCTGCGAACCGGGCCGCGGACCAGGAAATGAGCACACGCACTAGCAGTGCACTGGCAGTGCAGAGGTTTGGAGGGGTGAGGTACTCGCCATGTCGGGGTCGTTGTAGTAGTACTGCGAGGCCTTGGCGCCGGCCTCGGTGCGGCCGCGCGCGCGCAGCCACACGGGGCTCTCGGTGGCGAAGACGGTCTGCAGCAGCAGCGGCAGCGCGGGCACGGCGCACAGCGCCCACGCGTGCGTGCGCCAGTCCATGTAGGCCCCCATCACGTAGCACCCCACGATCCCTGCGGGCCAGAGCGGACTGTTGGGCGGGGTTCTCCACTTGGACAGGCAAAGGCAGGATGGGATCGCCGTGCAGCCTCACCCATGGACGCCAAGGCGGTGGCCACCGCCGTCAGCCCGCCGCGGATGTTCTTGGTGGCGACCTCGGTGATGAAGAGCAGCGAGGGGCTGTGCGCCATGCCTGCAATCCGTCGATGACGTCACGGCTAGCTCTGCCCCTTTCCGGTCACCCCCAGTCTCGACCGGATGTGCCGAAAGGCAGCAGGAAGTCGCCTTACCGATGGCCACTCCCGTGCAGAGGCGCCCGATCACGAGCTGCTCGAAGGAGGTGGCGGTGGCGATCAGGCTCCAGCCGATGCAGTAGGGGATGCTGACGGTCTTGACCAGCATCAGGCGGCCCAGGACGTCGTTGAGGCACAGGGACAGCGTGGACCCCACCGGGACGGCCAGGACGAAGGTGCTCGCTGCGGGGCAGGCCAGGACACAGTCACCGAAACGTCTTTCGGAAAGTTAGCGAGCACTGCCGCGGCGCGCCGCGGCGAGTCTGCTGACCTAGCCACGCGCTCTGGTGCCGGGTGACGGGGATGTCGCTGTCGGCGGCCTCCAGGGCGGGGATGAGGCTGGAGCTGTACGCCATGCACACGCCCGTCATCAGGTGGAAGCACTGCACGGCCGCGCTGGCCGCGAACTGGAAAGTGCAAACCAAACGCCGCCGGGTGATGCAACATTCCCTTCCCGGTTGACGCAACCCTCGCGGTCTTTGCGCGGCGCGGGTTAATCAGGTTACGCCCCAGACAGACACCCCGTGGGGCCACCGCCTACCTGCTTCCAAATGGCGCGGCGCGCGTGCCCCCGCGCTTGGGCGTCGTCCTGGCGGTCCTTGGCCCCGTACTCCGCGGGGTGCGCGGCGCCGTTGCCGTCCACCGTGGCGACGCTGGGGGGATCCTTGACGGCCATCTCGGCGTTGTCGGCGACGTCCCGCAGGTCCTCAGGTCCTCAAGTCCCCCGTGGGGGTCGGCCGTGCAGGCTGCGGGCGATGCAGGGCGGCGCGGTCAGGCTGCACCGAGGTGGACCGAGGGTGGACGGCGTGCTCGCTCTGCCACGCGCTGCACACTGAGACACCACACTGTGTTCAACTACACTGACGGCGAGCTGCGAGGGGCCTGTCCCAGCCTGTCCCAGCCCGGCCCGCGGCCTGGCCCGGCACACACGCCGGCACTGGCAATCACGAGGCTCGTCGGGGAGGCGGGCACTGCGGGGCTGGCACCGCCACCACCGGCGCGGGCGCCGCTAACTCGTGCACTGAGGTTAACGGGGCTGTCCGTCCACCTGCGCGGTGCACGGGGTGCGGTGACCGCCACGCCCCCGCGCCCCACAGGCCGAGCCAGTCCACTGTAGTGCACCAATCCCCGGAAAGAGGAAGGAGGCGGACCTTTCCATTCCACTCGATTGATTGAAGTGCAAGGTCGAGTGGCGGCCAAGGGCGAGGGTAAGGAGACGGAGACGCGGACGGAATTGGGCGCCTGCCAGTTGTTGCTTTCCTCGCCCATCCTCGCCCAGCCTCGCCTCGTGGACCCCCTCCCCCTCCCCCTTCCGCTGCCCGCTCGGCGCGAGCGTCCGCCGACTCGCGAAAAAAAATGTAAGAAGGGTTGCAGGAGGACCGAAGTCCTAACCCGAAGACGCCGCACTTTTCGCCCCGAACAGCGGCAACGAGGGAAATCGAAACCGTTCAGAGGGGACAGAAATAACTCCGGGTCCCGATAACTCGGACCGGTCGACTCGATAGCGAAATCGACTTTTGGGCATTCCAGTTCCAGTCGGCACGTGGCGCGCCACTTGGAGAATGCTGCCCCGCACTATACCGCGCTGCAGTCTATTTGTGGTCACGCCCGTCACCCTGTCGATGTCTCTTCCCGCGCGCGCGTCCGATTACCAGCCGGCCGGCGTCGCGTACGTCGCGTACTCACGCCGCGTCGCGGGTGCTCCAGGTGTGCACACTGCACCGCGCGGGGCGTAATCTACTTACTCACCAGCGGTGCCGCTTCGCGCTTTAGCGCCTCGCCTCGCCACCTCCGCCTGCACTTTCCTGCTGCGGCTTGCCGTGCTGCTGTGCTGCCGTGCGGCCGCGGACCGCAGTTTTTATGTTTCCATGTGACGTCGAGCACACACCAGATTGCGTATGCCGCGCAATGTCTCGTCTCGCCACGGCGGTGACACCGCACCGTACCGTGACACCACCCACCACGTGGTCCCAGTTCAAACAAGCAGTTCGCAGAGGCTTTTCGTCTTCGTCACCCTTTATTTTTATTATCGCTCCTCACCTTCTCCGTACTCCGTACCCAAGGGGTGCGCGTGGCGCGCTGGGCGCCGCCCTTTGAACTCGGAAGCTTTGAACGGCCGGCGCAGCGGCCAGGCGGTGGTTGGTCACACCGCCTCGAACGGCGGATACCGTTCGAAGCTGGAGGCCGGCACAGCGACCGCCCCGCGCCGAGCCGCCCGCCGCTGTCTGCCGACTGGCCGGAAGGGGATCAGTGTTGATTGACGGTTGATGAAGCGTGGTCGTCTCAGGTGTCGCTCGCGATCGGCTCGGCCCAACGGACTCGCGTCTCGGTCTCGACCCGCTGCCGCTGCCTTAACCTGCCGCTCACCGTGGGCAAGGAGAGACGCCGCCGTTTTCGGGACATTGCCATTCTGCTGCTTTCAGGGTGAGAGGACTTGTGACCATTTTAATTTAATTTAAGCACAGCAGCCGAATGAATGAATTGACTGCGGTATTACGGTACCCCGAGGTCCAGCCTCAGGTCTGGACTTGTTGGACGGGCGTGGGGAGGGGATGGGTGGGCGGCGCCAGGCCACGCCAGGTTGCCCATTGTTGTCATGAGCGAGCAAAACAAAAACAACAACAACAACCAAAATAAATATGAATCATGAATCTCAAGCCCTCAGAAGTGTAAGATAGGATCAGAGAAGTGTGAAAGTATGGACGTATTCTGCAAGGGCTGGATGCTGTGGGGTGAGTACATTGATTCCTCTTGTTTGTTTGTAAGCGTGCGGGATTACAGTGATGGCAATAGGAAAGGGTTTAGGATGAAAAATTACACTCTGTGGTTTTGCGAGAGATCATCTATTCAGGTTTAACATAGAATTAATTTTCATAAAGTATGCATGTAATTAAATATTCTTCGTGCGTAATGAAGTTCATTTCCCAAATCCTCCTCGACACTTGGGACTTGGCTCCACCTCCTTGGTGCTGATTTCCCATTGTTCCGGTGTCTTGGCCTTGATAAGAGACATAATTTTAATTTCTGATTACTCCAAAAAATTCATATAGATACTGTGAAAATTAACTTACTATTATGGAAAGGGCATGAACACCGCTTTTTAACTCCTCTGAGAGAGCATCATTTACTGCGCGATGCCTCTGCAACACAATATTTATGAATGTGACGATGCTGTCCCGTATTCCAAACCATTGGTATGTGATCATATTAACCTGTATTAGTGGTTTGCCTTCAAACTGTGAGGAAACGACAACGACTTTAAAGTGGGTTTCAGAACCTTTAGGCACATTGTGCATGTAAGATTCATTGTGAAGTTCCAAATGAACAGGCTCGAAACATGAAGTAAGTTTCTTGTGCATAGTTTGTTCTACTGGACCCGCCTGCGCATTTGCCACCGTCGACATTCTCCAAAAACCTGCACACAAACAGCTCAATGAATCAAGTTACGTAAGGCAAAGAGGAATGATCTATGACAAGGGCTTTTGCCAAAGTTGTCAGAAAGTTCATTTTATATTGAGATCCATAACCTAACTGTCTAAAAAATTTTGATTGGTGGATATGAATTGCATGACAACTGACAAAAATCTATGGAACACTTCATATAGGATTCTACCTAAAATGGGAAATCTTCTTGAAACTGAAATCATCCCAATACACCTTCAAAAGTTAGGTTTTTGGCTGCTAACTCTGGAATACCTAACCTTGATACAAAACATAAATAAAACAGTGTTGCCAACACCTTCTCAAGATATGTCGTACCATTACATTTTCCTTGCTTGAAGTTGCTTAAAAATTTTATTTTCAAATCCTCTCTAGATTAAAATTTTAAATTCTAAGACGTAGAAAAGATTTTTCAGTTATTTGGCATGGCACAATGACGATGCTGTGTCACTACTTTCTATGTTGGTAACAAAACTAGGAACACCATTCAAACGAACACGTCAAACACACTCCAAGAGAAAAGACAGCTACGGGCATCACAATGGGAGTTCCATTTATTTTGTTATCTTCATTGGGGTTTGGGTCATTCATTGACATGATTCATATATTTTACTTATTCTACCTTAAATCTTACAACAGAAAAACATGTAACAAGACAGTATCTTACAATATTTATTACATAAATAGACCGAAAAACTATTTCTTTCAGCTCTAGTCTCATTTTTACTCAATTTGATTTGATTGGTAGTTGGCCTTCAACAACACCTTAAATGTTATGTTTTGTTAAAAAATTTATCGTTACTCTCATCTCACGTTTCACACCCACTTCACACTTCAGTCCAGCCACTGGTAAAGTAGGTTCCTCCTCGACATTTATTTCCTGAGTCATTCAACAAGCACCTCCCCGTTCGACTAGATTAAAGCAATCTCTCTGCGCCAGTCACTCAATTCCTCTGCGCCGTGGACTTCCCCGGCCTAGAGCGCCGTGGCGGCAGTGGCAATGGCCGGGGCCGCGGCGTCGGCGTTGTCGAAGAAGGTGCGCAGGTCGTGCTCGACGGCCATTCACCGGATGTAGCTGAGCGTGGTGCGGAACCTCCACAGCTGGTAGCCCTGGTACGCCACCATGCCCATGGCCCCCAGGACCAACAGCGTGTCTGGAAACGGAGGGTTAGGTTAGGTCAGGTCAGGTTAGGTCAGGCCTGTTTGGCACCCAAGGCGGGCCGGGAACTCACACGTGACGGTCATGCCGACCCAGTCCTCGCAGCCGACGCGCGACTGGTCCGCGATGAAGAGCCGCACCCGGGGCTCCACCTGCGGGGGCAGGACGAGCACCGCCTTGGCCGGCGTCGCCGCGCCCGAGGCCGCCGTCGTCCGCAGGCTGAGCTTGAGGCCGTCCGACAGCGCCACGCCGGTGTCCTCGGCCGCGTCGGCGTCGAACCTGGCGTTGCCGTGCATGGCGAGGCAGGGCATGGCCACCGGCACGTTGAGCGTCGCGTCGCGGGCCAGGGCCTTCATCGCCAAGCCCGTCGTCGGCGCCCACAGGTTGATCAGGCGGTTGCCGTCCTCGCCGGGGTGCTGGTCCAGGAGGAAACCTGTCGGCCAAAAAGGGCGGTTGGGATGCAGGGCGCCCGACGGGCTGGGGATAGGCAACCCGCCGGGACGGCGTGCGTTGCGGTACAGCAGCACGGCGTCCGGCGGGCTGAATGCTCTGAAGGCCACCCACCTGCGACCTGGGGGAAGGAGGCCTGCGTGGCCAGCATGTCGTCCAGGAGGTTGTAGAGCTGCTCGGCGGTGATGTTCTTCCTGCAGAAGAAGGGGTCGTCCGGGGCGATGGCGAGCAGCGCGGACCAGTCGAAGGCGGCGGGCAGCACCCCACTGAAGAAGCCGGCCGGGATGATGACGCCGGTGGGGTCGGTCGTAGTCTGCAGGGTTTGGCGGTCAGACTCTATTCCGTTGTTGTTTGTTGTCGTCGGACGTGTCGGAGGACGTGTCCGTTACCTGCCCCGGCGCGTTGACGAGCGCGTGCACACCGTCGGCCGCCATCTGGCCGATGGTGCACGAGATGTAGCCGCAGGGCTCCGCGTCGCCGGAGAGCGCCATGGCGGACGTGACCTCGATCTTGGCGTCGTTGATGTAGCCCAGCGCCTTGCTCGCGATGGTGGCGGGCTGCGCGGTCGCATCCGTGATTTTCGCTGCGGCGAATGACGATCGGGACGTTAGAAACAAGCGAAGTGGAAGTGCAAGGCGTCGAACGCGATGGGTGTACTCACTGGCGTGGTAGGACGTCAGGGTGGGCTCCTTGAGGTCGGTGGGCGTGCAGGTGCTGTCCAGGGTCAGCGACAGCTTGCCCACGTTCATGGCCAGGGCCGCCTCCGCGGGCATGGTGCTGCTCACCTTCTTCCCGGTGATTTTCGACGACAGGGCTGCGGCAGAAAAACGTCAGAAAATCACTGTCCTTTCCCGTTTTGGAAGACTGCAGTCCCGTCGCTACTTCGCACGCGAGAGACTCCTTCCCGCACGTGGGGTATTCCTGCCCATCTTACTTGTCCCCTTGGCCACGGTCCCGCTGCTGAGCACCACGCTGACGTCCTCCAGCGCCACGACCTCGTCGACGGTGCTGGACTCCATTTCGCCTGCAAGCAGAGCCACGTCAGGGTGGTGCCGCTCGGGGCTGCGATTGGCTGAAGCTCTCGCCCGGGCACTGACCGATCACGACGAAGAGTGCCGGGGCCTTGCTGAGGGCGGTCTTGGCCTTCGTGATGGCGTCCTTGACGGACTGCACCTCGTCCGCCACCGTCGTCGTCGGCAGGTACTTATGCTGGGAATTGAGAAGAAGGTCATGCAGTTGAAAAACTAGAGGTCGAGGGTGATTTGAACCCGCGCCTACGCACCATCTTGCTTTTGTTGACGACGCCGATGACCACGACGCTGCAGGTCGAGCCGGTCGGCTTGATCGTCCGGAAGGCCTCCACCTTGGTCTCCGTCAGGTCCGTGCCGCAGTTGGCGCACGTGAGCACGCTCTGGCCGTTGAGTTTGCTGGTCACCACGTCGCCCTTGCCGAACCGGAACATATCCGCGTCCACGCTCTGCGGCCGAGAACGAACCGTCAACCCCATGCTGCCTCTCTCGCGCTCGTGCCCGGAGGGCCGGAGGGTTGCCTACCATGGCGCCGAACTCCAGCAGGTTGAGCCCCTCCACGGCCGTCTCGTGCTTCAGCAGGCGGTAGTAGTCCTCGCCCTGCTCCTTGACGTCGCCGGCGTGCCCGAGCGCCAACCCGGAGTGCACCCACACGTCGGACTCGGGCTTGGACGCCTTGCGCAGCGCACTCAGCCCCACCAGGCCGCCGAAGCACTCTGGTTAGGTTAGGTCAGGTTAGGTGGAGGCGCTGGCACAGAGGTCGTGGGCGAACGCTGTCGAAAGCTTACTTGTGATGTCAGTCTGGCAGAGGTCCGCCGCTGTCTCGCTGGTCGTGGGGAACAGGTGGTACCGCAGATCGTTGACGAAGAAAATGTTGAGCGTCGTGGCGTCTGGCGTGCAGATAGAAACGGCGAGTCCGGGTGGGAACATCACGAAATATTTCGAAAAGAAAATTCACTCTACCCTCCCCCATGATTTTCAAAGCCGCAGGCGGAGGTGTACCACCCACCTGTGGGTGCTGTGACAGGAGCAGGGGTAGTGGGGGCTGCAGTGGGAGCTTCGGTGGGATTGGTAGGAGCAGGAGCTTTAGTGGTAGCAGGAGCTTGAGTGGGAGCAGGGGCTTTAGTGGTAGCAGGAGCTTGAGTGGGAGCAGGAGCTTTAGTGGTAGCAGGAGCTTCAGTGGTAGCAGGAGCTTCAGTGGTAGCAGGAGCTTTAGTGGTAGCAGGAGCTTCAGTGGTAGCAGGAGCTTCAGTGGTAGCAGGAGCTTCAGTGGTAGCAGGAGCTTTAGTGGGAACTGCAGTGGGTACTGTGGAGAAGGAATCTGCAGTGGAAGCATATCGGTGGTGTTAGAGCCGTGGAAATCCGCTACAACAACTAAATGGTTAAGCGAGCACATTAGCTTGGGTGTTAGTTGCCTACCGCCTCCCCTACAGGGGGTGCGCTACTATTTACCAGGCACCTTGCGCGTTCTAGCGAGGAGCGCGCGCCACCTCTCTACTTTAGCAATGCGGCGGTGAAGCAGTTCGTATGCGTACCACCGTCAGCAAGAGGTTCTTGGGCGGCAGCTGGAGCTTCTTGGGCGGCAGCGGTGGCGAGGGCGGCGAGGGCGACCGCCAGCAGCAGGACCACGGCGCGCGCCATGCTGGAGTAGGCTGGAAAAGCAAGGCGCGCCATTACGCCCTTTGAGTGACTCACCCACCGCGCGGCGAGGGCTCGGCCAGGTGAAGGTGAGGCCCTCGCCGACGGCGGCCCGCTTGTGGGCGGCGAGGTGCACGACGGCCTTACCTGCTGCTTCCTGGTTTTCTCGTGAAACTAGTGGAAAAGGGGAGCCGGCGACGCTTTTCCTTCTTTTTCCCGACCGTGGCCGTTCGGTGGTTCTGCGCGCACTATCTGCCGCAAGGAAGGCGCTTGGCTTATCTGCCTGTATATCTCAGTCAAGTTGGCCAGCAGATAGGCCGGCCGGCCACCGAGCGAGGGAGAGAGAGAGAGAGAGAGAGAGCGAGCGGCACCCCGAGTGCCGAGGCGCGGTGACGATTACTCTGCGTACCTGTGCCGTGTTGCGCCAGGCCGCCAGGCACCGGCCGGGGGATGGGGCTGGAACCCTTAGGGAACCCCGGGCCGCGTCTGACGTAGTCTGACGGGCCGTGTAGTGTCAGTGTCAAAGCGCCACCCGATCCCTCCATCCCTCACGTATGGAGGATTTCGTGTTCGCGACTAATGTTGAGGCCTTGGCAGTTGCAGTGTGGTGGCGGGGGAGATGTCATACATAAATTACAAGAAACCAATTTAATTGAAGGTTTATTTTTAATGTCACAACACCATGTAAATTAAAGTATAAAACCATGTCAAAACCAGTATAAAGTGAATAAAAAAAGTTAGCGTGCTCCTAAGTAAAAAGTACAAGATAACTGTTAGATATTATGCATTAGAAGCAACATTGGGTGTCGGTTTCTGAACATGCTCCAATGTGGTCTTCAGTGAGTGGATCCATGGCTATTCCTCATCACATCACTGCACAGTTTGCTTCAGCATTGGAGCTGAAACAGTGAGGAGCTGTATCAACCATTCAGAACTATTCAAAGACACTAAAAGGAAAAGCTCGCTTACCTGGAGGGACTCCTTTCAGCCAAACTTGGTTTTTTTTGGAATGTCAGCAGGTTTCCATCCTTGTCACTGCAGAACAAAAGGCTTACTATAATTTATATTTTTCAAATTTATGGATAGAGAAATTGAAGGCCAAGTTACGGTTGGCTCTGAATAAAACCAAGAAATTTAACTTACCAACCAAAGAGACGCATTGGGTTAACAGTGTCATCATGCACACTTCTCTCAAATTCTTTAATTATTCCTCTCAGGCGATTACGAGCATTGTTAAAAAAATCTTTGTTGCCCCTATTTTCTAATAAATTCAGTTTATCATCCCAGTAATAATTAATTTGATTCTTTTCCATAGCATCTTCCAGACTCTGCAAAGCCTGCCAGCAAAACAGAAAAAAGGGACACAAAAATGATTTATGTTTACTTTACGCCAAACTATGTGCTTTGTGTGTCTCCACAATTCACTTTATTAAAATGATACTTACAAGCATTATTATTCGACCAAGACCCATTTTGCGGAGCTCTTGCTCTTCCATCATCCACATAAATTTGGTCTTGAGGTAGTAGCTGGAGAGGACCTTCCACTCCTGCACATCCCGTAGCCTCTGATATCAATTTTAAGCAGAGCTCAAATTAGATCAAAACTGTACATGTTATTTTTCTTCAGACTTGTTTAACCAAACAAATACTAGACGATTTGATTTACCTTCATAATACGGATGCAAGGCTTTACATGGTATTGTCCATTCATAAAATCTCTCTCAGCTTCATAAAGGCTCGTACGCCACATTTTCTGGTGAGATTTTTCAGATGGGCCTTTTGGAATTGCATACCATGTACGAGAAATACTTTTCTGTAAAATTAAGATAATTTAATATGTTTTTGAAAAAATAACTAAATTCTCATTATTGGGCCACAAGAAACTAATAAAATAATTCTTTTCACTTACAGCTTTAAGTTTGGCAGAAGTTCTATTGGGCAGATGTTTCTGACTTAACTCAAGAGCAGGAACCAAGTCAATAGAAAATGTTTTTCCATTTTTCATAGTAGCATTGATAGTCACAGCAGGCCCGGAAGTAGAGCGCGACATATGCTGTTAAGGTGAAAAAAAAATTAAACTTAAAGAAAAACAAAGGGGAAAAAAGAAAACATTTTTAATGCTGTTATAAATACCCTGATAAAATTCCACTGATGTCTTTGGAGTCGAAGTAGAGCCAGATCAACCACTCTTTTCAGCCAATTCATAACGTTGGATCGGCTCACATAGGATTCTTCAACCCAATTCCTGAGTTGCCTGTGTGATATAGTTGAAAAGGAAAAGGACAATAAGAATACCTCAACTTAAATATTGACTGGATAATACCTTACAGGGTACATACGCTTTGATAGACTCATAATGTGATGGAAATTTTTCACTGTGGCAGCCAAATTTCTTTAAAACTTTATTTTCAGGGACATCAAACCCATAGTCCAATCTTATGGCAACATGACCACTCCCAACATCTTCAACCTTGAAAAAAAAATTGTTATCAAGCTAACCATCATTATAGTACAAATAATATGATCTGAGAAACACACCGTCACATTCTCTTGAATATCAAGTGGAAAGAGTATAAGGTTCAAATCAAACTCATCTGGGGAGCATATTTTGAGATCCTCCCAAGAGCTTCCAGCAGGGGCTATTTGTCTATACAAATATTTGAACAGAGGGTCAGCCTCTCCCATTTCTTTCAGAAGGACATCAATTATCTCCTGTAAAATCGAAAGATGGTGCCTTGAATATAAGTTAAAGCAAATACAATTAATATGAAAACACTTTTCCTCACATCAAAAGCTTTCACAAACTCTTGACGTTCACCATTGTCAATGCGTAAAACATGACTTAGTAAGTTACGAAACCAGGGGTCAAATGTGTTGTAGCCATGCTTCAAGGCTTCGGGCCGCAACTACAAAAAATTAAATAATATTTAATGAACTATTTGAGAGTAGGAAATGAATGTTTAAGCAATACAGCTGGGATGTTGATATTTTTGAATACTTACTACAGACTCTCCAAACACTACTTTTTCAGTGGCTAATCTCTCTTCCACTTGTTGTTCCTTCACTTTTTGCTAAGAATGAAAATAATAAAATATTACTGAGCTATTTTGGGTCAAGTAAGTAAGAATTTTTTGCTTGCTTTTGAAACCGGGAAGTGTTTGCTTTGTCATTAGTATCCATTCTGTTTTGACTTTTGAAAGAATCTTTGCTTACCCAAAATGAGCTCAAAGTATTTGGGTTGAACCATCCTGTAAACCAGTTGTAGGACGACACTTCAGGGCCCATTTGTGCCTGTCGGTACGCAGTCATTTCAGTCCTTGAAGGCTGATGCTGATGATGTTCTTGTGCAGGTTCACCCCTCAGTGCTCCATAGATTTTCTGCAAAAAAAAACTTGTCAGCATACACAAACTGAAATTGTGCCAGATGGGTGAGAGTATTTTACAGCAAAGTCACAAATGACCGTGTTTAGGACCCGTTGTGACAGCACCATTGTGGGGGAGGGCGGAGGGCGTGGCCACCAAGCACTACCCTCACTAACGCAATGCCCACCCGACACATAACAAAGGCGATTTTCAGATAATTTTGAATCGAAGCTGAGAGTGAGACATACATAAGCGCCGTAGAGCACGCCGACGGCCGTGGCGGCGGCTGCCCCTGCAGCCAAGTAGTCGCTGGCCCCAGATCCCGGTGCACCACCCCCTTGTTGTCGGCGTCGCTCCTCGTCGTCCTCCCTGCCTTGACCACCGCGACCCTGCATCTTGCTCTTGTCCAAAGCCCAAGCTTGAGAACGAAGAAAGGGAAAAAAGGCTCCACTGAACCTTTGTTGATGTTGCGGCGAAGGTGCTGTGGTTGTACGCCGCAGGGAATACACTGCTGCGGCAGAACTGGGGGTGGGAAGGGGGGAGGGGGTGACGTAAAACGGGTGCGGAGGGGGAAGTGGGGGGAAAGTTCGTGTCGCGTGATCCTGCATCCTGCATCGACCAAGATCGACCGCACTGCGCATAACGCCCTTGTTATTAGCAGAAAGGGTGCGTCAAGTTGATGATGTTGGTGGAAAGCAGAGCAGAAGGCACGCTTTCAGTTGGACATCGACAGCAGGCAGCAGGGAAGGGATGATAATGTACGACTTACTTTGATTTTCACAATACTTGGCACTCCGCTATGCTTGAAGATTTTTCTTATGAGCTGGACGCCTGAATGTGTAGCCCTGTGCAATGACTCTTAACGGAACTACCCTCGAGCTTTCTACCCTGGAACCACAATGGCGTCTGTTGCAAGAATGTTGACATTGAACGTAAATTGTAGATTTTCAATATTTAGGCATCTTAGTTTCGTTTTCATTGTAATATTATTTACTTTAGGATCACAAAATTATTTTGCCGAGACTGCGCATCTCAGCGGAACCTGGAACACACGAGAGTTCTATAGGTTTCTTATTAAATTCGGGTTCCAAAAGACAGACATTCACCAAGAAAATGATGGCTATATATATGGGAATGTCACTGCTAAAGGAAACCTTAATCAGAAAGCCACCCTGGCAGTTTTAGATAGAGGATATTTTTTAGAATACTATGGCAACCGCACAGTTGCAAATAAAAGTAAAGCCTGTGCTTTAATGTTTGACAAGATCAAGACAACAGCATACGACTCTGTTTGTTTCGACACTGGTGAATTAGATTTCCTAAGGAAAATACCATGTACAAAAGGGAAAATTTGTGAAGATGAAGACAAGCCTGCCTTTGTTCTTCCCAACTATCAATTTATGTATAGAATCCGTGATATACGGCAACCAAGGTAAAACTTTCAAAATTTTCTTGTTTCAATTTTATCCGCAGCTTTAGGCAGAGTCCAAATACATCTGGTGAGTTCTCACACTTTTTTCTGTGCAGGTTTTGGTACATAAGTATGGTTGCTTGTTATCGAGACCCTAAAACATGTAAATGGAAACATTTGGATGAAGAAGCGGAAATAGATTATGACATTTGGTTTGTTAATGGCAATCCTAATGTGTCTGGAAACAACCCTGTTCTTTATCAATTTTCCTTCGACCAGCAGGTAAGTCTTTGAAAGTACTTCTGCTTTTGACTTTAAAAAAAAAGAAACCCCTTCCCCCCCCTTCTGTTTTTCTTTTTCTTTGAAGATGCTAACCCTCTTTACATTTTGCAGGACACTGTGGAACTCTATTTGGTTTTCTTCTTGTGTTACGTTGTATTAGTTCCACTTCAACTTTATGCTGCCCTTCAGCAACGCCATCCTGTTACTCGATTGTTCACTGTCAGCCTTCTTATGGAATTCATTGGCCTTGTGTTCAATCTTTTCCATGTCTTGAAGTTTGCTATAGATGGAGTAGGCTTTGAGCAAGTGGCTGTGGCAGGAGATGTATTTGATATTCTTTCAAGGGTAAGTAAGCTATAGCAGTGCATCATGTATATTATAATTAAACCCAGCTCTCTTCATGGAACATGCTTTGTTCATATGATATGATATCTTTCCAGACTACTCTCATGCTGTTACTGTTACTCCTTGCTAAAGGTTGGGCAATAACTCGTCTGGAATTGACACACAAGCCTTTAGTATTCACAATATGGTTTATTTATGGTGTTGTCCATGTTTTGTTGTATGTTTGGAATATGGTAAGATAATTATTATGTTGGGTACAGATTTTCTGTCTAGATGTGAACAGACATCTTCATTGTATTATCTTCAATGTTCCAGACTGAAGTGGACATCATTGAGGATATAGATGAGTATCAGACGTGGCCAGGCTGGCTTATTTTAATCTTGCGCTGGGTCATCATGATATGGTTTCTGCTCGAGCTGAGAAATACAATGTATTATGAGCACAATGTCCATAAGCTACATTTCTTCCTACATTTTGGTGCCTCTGCTCTAGTCTGGTTCATCTATTTACCTATCATTGCCCTCATAGCTCTTCGAGTATCTGCACTTTGGAGGTTTAAGTTGTTACTTGGTAAGTGCCATAATAGTTAAATTATTGTCTTTTTTTTTATTTTTAACCATTTTGTGCAAAAGTGTTTTAATTTTGTTCTCTGTCTGTACAGGCATTACATATTCTGCTGATTGCTTGGCTTACTGTGTAATGACACATCTGTTGTGGCCAACTCGTAGTGAACAATACTTTCTTCTAGCAAATGAAACATTTCATGCAGATGAATTGGATGAGTTTAATGAATCACCTCATGTTGTGAACACCTATCGAATGAACTCTGAAGAGCCTCCAGATTTAAGTGACAGTGCCTCTAATTATAACAACTACACCTCAGTTAACAGTAACAATAGTAACATTGATGATGATGCAGATTACTCTAAGCCAATTCTTACATGATGTTTTTACTAGATTTTATGATGTACAGAGATTTATGACAAGCTAGTGCCATTAGGGTTGAGATGTATTGGTGAAATGAGAATGGAATCGGTTCCATAGCCTATGCTTTCATATTCTCAAAATGTTTTGGGGTTTTTCATATTGTCAATTTTATTGATTATCCATAGAATTTATAACATGTTTTTGACGTTTTCTATTTTTAAATGTTACAAATGTTTGTGAGTTTTTGATGGAAAAACTTCTTGAACTTTGTTCTCTTTCTCTAAGTTACATTCTATCTGATTAATTCAGAAAGATTACGGTCCATTTTCCTGCCAAGGTTTTGCAAAACATACAACTTACTTAGTAATTAATGCTTTTGTTTTTTGTTCTTTAAGTTTGTGATTTGATGAATCCTCCCTTCTTTGGGGAGGATGTCAACTTTTGCTGTGATGTGCAGTACATGCATATTTTAGTTCAATTTTGCTGTATGGGATTGATTTATAAAGATGTTTGATCAACTGATCTGCATCTGCACTTTGAATGATGCAAAGTGATCAGTGAGCAGTGTAACAGGTCAGCCTGATGATCTAAGCGGAAGTTGATCGTGCTGTCTAGCTGATTTGCTACCCCTAGTTTTACCTTCAGTGCCGGAGTTTTCCATGGTAAATTAATTGAAACAATATCTGCTGAATAGTAGTGTGAGTGTGAAAATTTGTTTTCAATTTAAGTACTGTAATGTTAAATTAAGGATATGTTGTTTTTATGATTCTTTTCATCTTCTGTTTATGCTAAGAATACGTACATGCTCATTTTTTTGATAGGATTTGTGATACATTAGTCTACTTCTTTGTGAACAAAATGTTTCTCCTCTTATGAGGGTTGCTACTTGTTTTCAAAGAGAATCAAATTTTTTTTTTATTACGGTATGCCATCACTGATTTATTAGTGCTATACCAATTGTTCTTAGTATTAATTGTGAGCTCAGTATTATCATCTCTCTCTGAACGAACCTGAAATATTAAGGTGTTATTTGAATTTTGTATTGAACCCTTTAGGGTCCTTACTTGCCAAACTCCTGTAACATGCATAAGTAGTATATGCAGACCTTAAATGCTGTCCTATTTGAGAGATTTAGTTGACATGTTTGCAAGAATGTGACTATCTGAAAGTCACAAACCCATTTCAGATGGAAAGCCTAAATACTCCGGCGCGATATTTTTTTTTGAAGTAAAAAGTGATGATTTGTTAAGAATGTTTTTTTAATAAATATTTTCAGATTTCTAGTATCTGTTTTATAGGCATAGACGTTTTAAGACATCTGTTAATTGTTTCTATGTAGGTACAACATTCTCTCTTAGTACGAAATTAGGTTGCTTCCAATATTGTTTTCTAGGTTATTTTTGTTATTTTTTTCTTTTACTTGAAAACGGTATTCTTACAGTCTGTTTTGCCATCTTACACAAAAAAGTGAAATTATCAAAATGTTACATTGCTAGTCATGTTAAATTATGTTCTCCTCTCTAGTCACTTTTGAACACTTTGGTAAAACAAAATTACACATTCCAGTTTAGTGGTAATTTGATATCTTGTAAAACATTTGTCTGGCACATTTGTTTTGATGGTGTCCCCCACAAGGACAAAGTCAGTTGTTGGGTTGTGTCCTGGAGGAGTCCTGGTATCTTGTACTGGTGTTTTGTTGTGCCCTCTTATACAATAAAATTATTTGAAATATGCAAATTGTTGGTCAGGTTGATCACATGATATTCCTTCACTTTTCAGAAGGAAACTGCAGGAACCATCACAGGTAGGTGTGTGTCTGACCTGACAAGCATCTGTATTTTCAACTCGCTGCTTCTGTATAATGTCTCGGATGCAATTATAGTTGGGTGCAAAGCCTGAGAAATCAATCGGTTGCTACTTCTTAAAACTCGTCTCAGAGTTAATTTGGAACAACCTCCTATGGCACTTCAGCCTGCAGGGATTCTTCCCTGTTGCAACAAATGAGAGTAGGGCATAATCAATCCTGAAAACTACACATCAGCAATTCCATTTATTTGCATATTGCTTCAGTACAGAAAAAAACTGCTCAAGGTAAAGCTGCAATGTGATCTAATTTTTCCTGAGAAATGTCTGATGGTAATCATCATTCACAGAGGAAAACCAATTAGCTGATGGTATCACATTCTCCTTTTCAAATAAATTACCTAATAATTTCAATAGCACATTACAATGAATTAAGTAAAATATCACTGCCACACTAAAGAAAGGAGAAGGAATGTGATTTAGACTGCCACTTCATTAAATTCATTTCTCATCAGATCTGTGACTAAAAATTGTATCTTAGGTCTGATTGGAACTATTTGACAAGCAGCAATGAATAGTATGAGTTGTACGGAAGCCTGAAGAGAGAGAACCACTCTTAGCAGAATAAAAAGCGTTGAAAAAAAACAAGGTTGTATGCATGATGCAAATTAGATTAAAATTGATTATCCAATTACAGTATTTACAGAGAATTCACATTCAGCGATAATTGTACAATAAATACAGAGATATGAAGTAATTTCAGATGTGTTGCCATAATGGCATTACAATACGAGTTATATACAGTGATACACTCTGTGGTTTGCAAACAATAATACAATAAATAAATATTTAACTGCCAAATTGTGTTTGCCTTCTAATTTAAAGCTTACATATTTCTTTGAAGAGGTAGCAGCCTTAACTCGAAAATCCTTCCATTCCCCAAGGAACAAGGGTTGACACCCACGTTCCATTCTCTTATCATGGCACCCACATTTCTCGTCACTTTCATATGAAGTAACTTCATATAAATTTTAACAATCGCTTGCAAACATTGAAGAAAAATTAGCATAGTTACTAAAAATGAGAACCACAATTTAACAATTTTAAAGTAATAGACTTGATCTTTTATTTGGAATGAATCCAAAACAAGAGCATAACTAATAGAGCTTTTTCTTTTCTTTTTTTTTCTTAAAAAAAAAGTAAAAGAAAGGTGACAGCATGAAGATAAGCTCTTAATATGCAGGATAGGGGGAAACTATCAAGTTTATCTGCACCCTTATTTAATTCATATATTTACCTAACTATCATGACTGCATTATAAAGCTATGGGACAAAACTACTTTAACTTAAAACTAACGACCAAATTTACAATAAAATTCAGAAAACAATGAAAGCTTTAAAATTGTATAGTGAATATAAATTCATTTGTGCACAAGACACTCCAAGTAGTAAGAAGTTATGTTTCAAAAAAAAGGGGGGGGGGGGGGAAAGACCACACAGACCATACATTGAATTGGCAAATGATGGGTAACATTCCTATTTTACAATCATCTTTCGTTGTACTTCTGAACCTAACTGCATTTATAACAAGAAACAGTCGGATTTGATTTCGTGACCAACCCATCTCAAGTGAAGCACAGGATAAGCTATTTAAAAATCTAGATATTCAAAATGCATGAGAAGAGGTTGCTATGGAATAATCAACAATTTTTACCACACTTCAGCACCAAGTGTTGCTTAAAGTAGAAGCATATTACTTGTGCTTCTGTGTAATTTCACTTATGTATTTCTGCCAAAAAGCCATTAAGTACACACAAGAAAGTCTTCAGAAAAGAGAGTGGCTGAATGAATATCCCATTTCGGACTTTTTTCTTCCCATGCACTTTTTGGTTTAAGCATTTGATCTGAATTTGCACTCATGGAGATGCTAAGAACAACTGCAATACAAGTATTCTCTTCATAGTGAGCAATTGCAGCACAAAAAACAAAACAAACAGAAACATGAAATGAAACATGCTGATTCTTATGCCCAGAATTAACTATGCTGTGCTCCAGTCTGTCTTCAGAATTTTTTCTCTCTCTTTTTCTGGGCTGATTTTTACTAGAGCACAGACCAAGGCCAAGTCATTTTATTGATGTCTTAACTAAATTTTCATTTTATGTCTCAGAGTACTCAGCTCACAAAAGAAACAAGGATTTCTGTAGGTTTCGTTCTTGGACATTCTGGAGATCAATTCAAACTTGTGAACACATAGTCACACTGGAAAATTGTGAATGTTCATTTGAAGGTATTTCAGTATAAATGCTCCATGAAAGTAAAGTTTCTGCTATGATACAGCCGATGCTATTTCTCCTTTCCAAACTTAATTTTGTTACTCTTGTCTCTATGAAAGCACAGCCTTTCTGACCCTCAATAACAAATAAAATAAAGACTGCTAATTTGGTGGTAAATTATGAAGCGCTGATATGATGCACAATTCATATAGACATAAGAAGAAATTTCTTAAAGAGATGGTTCATAAGTAGCCTATGATTTTCATCAAACACATAAGCATACAATATGTGACTTCATGAATGTCCTCTGCAATAAATATATGTTGTCTAAAGATTCTACCACTAGGACACATAGGAAATTAAGAGCTGCCAATTACTTCTGACAGATACTACAGCACAGAGGTTTATGACTAATGGGTCAACAACTGTTAACCTACGGTGCTCAATAAATTCTGCAGCTTTCATTCAAAAACATACTGTCTACTCTTCTTTTTCTGCATTACGTTCGTCTTCCTTCATACTTCTTACACTGTCTCCACCCTAGATCAAAACAAAAGATGTTTAGATCGGAAATAGGGAAATAATGCCTCAAGCCAAACAGCATCAAATTGAAATCTCACCTGAAGAGACCTAAATCTATGATCTTGTGAGAAGCAGGGCAACTCCAAGAAGTAGGCTGAGAGATATTCTCGTAACTGGTGCGCCTGCAACAAATAAATATAGACCTTAGAACCGGAGGCAGATCAATAGAGAATATAAAAAAAGTGGAACAGACAAAATGTCAGGATTTAAAAGCCACCTGTAAGAGGTGGGGTCAGATTCATGAGTATTTATACTTTTTTCAAAATCCAATTTAAAATTTAACTTTTGAGCCTAAATTTCAACGACTCAACTTCTCAAGTCAAAGCCATAACGTTTTTTTGAGCAGAAGGATGGATAGTACAAATGCAAAAGACTGCGAAGATTTTTCAGAAGATATGCTTGGCCACCGTGATAAGTGCAAAAGAATAAAAATGAAATGCTTTTGATTTGCAACCCAATAGTGCAAGTAACAAAATGTATGTATTTACAAATTTGCAATAATTCTCTTTGCTAAATGGAGAAACAAAAAGCAAAATGTACATGCCAGTAGCAGACCACAAAACCTTGAGCACACCATGGATGAAAAACTGTTTTTTAACTGTGTAATTCAATGGCAGCAATAAGTTTACCAAGCATGTTCAAGCATATAAAACCACAGGTTCCTACACAACAAACACACAATGACCCCTTCTCAAAATTCACACCGTGCCACAAACCATTCTTCGTGCAAAAGGCAGAATACACCACAGAAATCGGAGCTTTAATTCTGACGATGATGACAGAGATGACACACAAATAATTTAAAATACAGAACCAACATTAAAGTATAAAAAGAGAAACAGAATAATACAGAAAAGTTCCCTTAAAAAAAAATGATGTTTTCATCAACACCTGGAGAAAGAATTGGTTATTCCTTTGTTTCTTGTTGCCCAATTGAATACATACCGCCTTTTAGGGATGATTCTGCACTCACTGATGTATCTATTCAGCCAATTAAAAAGAAAAAAATGTTAAAGTAGCATTCCACAAAAAAAGTTTGCTGTGTGAAATTTCACCATATTTGTAGACATGTTTCTTCCCAAGTTATCCACAAAAATGAGGAAATGTTTGATGAAATTGACAATTACCTGCGCTAATTTCATATATTATTGAGTCCTCTGACCAACCAAATGAATTTCGTGACTTCAGTTTAGCTTCGTACATAGGTGCTTCGATGTTTTCCATTTCATACGTCACTGTGTAAACATTTTTTTGAGTCTTATTAACTGGTAACACTTTAGTGTCCCAATCAGAACTCTGTTCATAGGAAAAGACAATTTTTGTTTTAGCAATATTTGAAGTCAACTACTTTAACGATGATGATAATAATTTACTGTATGTCTTACTTTTTTTGGTCGATACAAGAGTTCGAATGTAGTGATAGGATCCAGGCTGTCAGCAGTCCAGGAGAGCACCGGCCTTCCCTTATTATATGTTACATGCTCTAGCTTGGCAGCCAACGGTAAACCTGTCATGTACACGGGAAGTGTTAGAACGCTGTATTTTCGAGGGGGGGGGGGTGTAAAAGAAGCGCAGCACGTTGACGTTACCCGACAGCCTGATGGCTCGCCTCGAGGTGCCCTTGCTGTTCTCGGCCAGACACTGGTAGGTGCCCAGGTGCTCCTCGGCCACGTTGTCGAAGCGCAGCACGTGGCGGCGACTGAGGCCGCCCTCGCCGGGGACGTCCTCGCCGGGCAGCATCTCCATGTGCTTGTTGGGGTGCAGCTCCTCGGCCTGCTCCTTCTTGAACCACTTGACGGTGGCCTTGGGGTAGGCGTGCACCACGCAGGCCAGCTCGGGCCGCTCGCCGATGTTGGTGTTGACCACGTCGCGCTCCGGCACGATGTGCGGCCCGTCTGCAGGCACACCGCAAGCACCAACTCACTCGCATATACTCACTCGCACTTCGACGGGGGCAAGACGGCAAGACCAACGACCACTCACCGTTGACCGCCACGAAGAAGGAGTGCTCCGCGAAGCCCAGGCCGTTGTGGGCGTGGCAGGTGTACACGTCCGAGTCCTTGGCCTCCACGTTGGACAAGTGGAAATGGTCCGCGTTGTGCACCTTGTCGCCCCCGAGGAACTGGCCGCCCTGGTCCGCGCAAAAACACAGTCAGACGGCAGTCCCCCAAGTGGAGCAAGCGAGGCGAAGCCAGGCCTACCTTTCGCGTCCAGTTGACGTGCGGCCGAGGGTTGCCGCCGAAGTGGCACCGCAGCGTGGAGTGCTGGCCGCGCTCCAGGATGACCTGCGGGTTCTCGGGCTCGGCGGACACAAGCCGCGGCGGTTCTAAGGGAATGCACATCAACATGACGCCCCACCGCCTCCACAGTATGATACACTAAAATGTACAACGACCTTCGCGATGTCATCATCGTCATCAGATTATTGTTACGATTTCAAAAACCACACCTTCATTAGAAACGTAGGGATTAGATAAAATACAATACACACCATGCAGCATGCGTTTTTTGACTTTCTCTCTCTTTTTTTGAACTTTGATATGGCTATTAGTGAGGTGAGGGTCAGCTGCAGGTGCAGGGGGCACAGCTGACAGGTGGGGTGACACAGCTGCGCTCTCGCAGCCGCCGAGCGCCGCCACTGTGACTCCATCTCACTTGCACCGCCGTTCAGGCTCAGCGCAGCTCAGCGTGATGAAGAGAGAGCGGCCCAGCGGCCCAGCCCAGTGCAAAAAGCCTGTGACGGCGCTCGCGCGCTCGGTTTGGTGGAGTGAGTGAGACGGAGTGACAGCCCTGCACCTGAAGCGGGGCATGCATGCGCGTGGGGGTGCACGTGGAGGTGCACTGGAGGTGCACGTGAGGCGCGCGCCCTTACCGTTGAGGACGAGCTGGTGGTGGATCTGCAGGCCGTCGTTGACTTTGCACGTGTACTCGCCGGCGTCGAAGAGCGTCAGGTTCTTGATCTCCAGGGTGTGGTCCGGGCGGAAGGTGAGTCTGTTGTCGTCCTTGAAGGTGAGCCGCAGGTTGTTGACGGCCAGGGTGAGGGACTTGTTGAGCCACACCACCGTGGGCACTGCGGACACAGAGGGCACGGGTCAGGCTTCGCGTTGCCGAGGCTTCACTGCCACACTGGCAAACACGTTGGACTCACCGTTCTCGACTTGGCACGGCAGTATGACGGACTCGCCCACCTTCCGCGTCAGGATCTGCTGGCTCGTCAGGATTTTGGGCGGCGGCCCCGCGGGCGGGCTGGGGCCGTCCTCGTTGGCGGGCTCGTCATCCTGGATCTCCTCGTCGTCGTCCTGGGCGCCGTCGGCCGCGCCACCACTGCAAGCAAGGAGGACACTGTCAGGCACTTCTCTCTTTTTCTGCTGTCGGGTTAGGTACGCTGATTTCGACGGCATGGCCATCGTAGCGCCTGCCAGGTAGGCCACCAATCCGTCACGCTTCGCACCGCTGTGGAGACGGTGGCCTACCTTGCCCCTTTGAGCGGCCCGGGGAAGTACCAGCGCGTGGCCAGCCTCTAGACGCTAGCTGTCTCTGTCACTCCCACTGCTCCCACTGCGTTTCCCAGCGGGGAGGTCCAGAATGGACCGGGCCGGGATTTGAACGCGGGGCTGCCGCACGAGGGCAGGGGGCAAGCGCACCGTCTCCTCGCACTCCGCGACACTGTCGCGCCGATGACACAGCTCATGACTCGACAGGAATCGCATCGCATCGCGGCTTCTGGCTTTGCTGCGCGACACACGCACACACACACACACGCGCGCGCACGGCAGTAACCGTCAACAGGAAGCGGGCGCCGGAGCGTCGCGGCGACGCGCGATGCGCCTTGCTCATGACGGCGTGCTCAAGACGGCGTGTTCATGACGGCGGTTATTTGCAGCACCACGTTATTCGCAGCCTGCGCGCATTCCTGCAGCCGCGGCAGCGCGTTCGAGTCGAGGAGGGCGTCGTCGCCCCCCTGCGGGTTGAGTACCCCCGCCTCCCACCGGTCTTCTGGCCCACTGTGCGTAGGGGTGTGAGAGAGACAGAGCGACGCGAGCAGCACACGCGCGTGACGCGCGAAACACGTGCTGGCAGGCACGCGTGTCAGGCCGTCAGGGCGTCGGGGGGACGCGCACACCCCCAGTCAGAGGGGGGCCTCGGCCTGCTCCACGCCCTGCTGGAGGGGCGCGGCGACCCCGACCTGCAGCCTGATTCCGAGAGTCGTCACTCTGTCTCTCTCGCACCTGTACGGGACGCCCCGTGCGTGCGAGAGAGACAGAGCGACTCTGAGTCGACTTGCGCGGCCTCTGGGATGAGCCGCACGGAGCCACGTCATGTCGCCGCGACACGTTAACATGCGCGTTCATGCGGGTCACACACACACACACACACACACACACACGCCGGCAAGGGGTGCCCCACACCAAGACGACCGCCGTGGGTTATGCGGGTGGAGGCGTCATCAAGTAGTCGAGCAAGCAGCGCCTACAGGCTCGTCGCTACACTCTAAAGGCGCCGCTGACGGCCGCGTGGCGGGGCGGGGCGGGGCGGGTCACCCTAGTCCGCGGCTCGGCGGTGAGGCGCGTTCCATTAGCGCGGACACCCGCCACATGGCGCGCAGTGCTGCGCAGCGCAAGGCTGGCTGGTCAAAGTGGTCCCAGGGAGACGCCTCGCCTCGCACACTCTCGCACGCACACACATGCAACGGATGGGCGAGGCGCGGTGTCGATGCCTTATGTGACTCGCCAGTCGACGGCCACCTCGGGCACCGCCTTGCGACGACCGCCTCACCGCAGGGACGGACCAGGAACGCGCGCGCTAAACAAGCAAATCGGCGTAAAAACACGGCAACACACAGCACGCGCCGCGCTCGTCGGCTGCGGGTGACAGTCTCTCTCGCACTCACGGCGCGCCCCGCGTTGGTGCGAGAGAGACGGAGCGACGGACGCGGCTCTCGGCATGGGTCCGCTGGCTGTTGGCCGGCGGACGGTACGGCCCCGCGGTGCCCCGCAGCCACAGCCTTTACGACCGCGGCGCGCCTTTCAGACACGTACGCCGTGCTAATTGGCAGGCAAACACACCGACACACTGCAAGGCCTGGAAGGCCTGGAACGGGGCCAGCCTCCAGCGCGGCCTCCAGCGCGGCCTCCAGGGCCCCGGAGGCGCACACACACACACACACGGAGAAGGGTGCTGGACAGCCTCGGATGCCTTGCCGGGACACTACACTGCCACGGCGTTCCAAAAATACCCGAAGGCCCGCGCTGCTGGGGTCAGCGCGTCGCGGCGCGTCGGCACACAGGAAGTGGGAGCCTCGGAGCCGCGCACACATTTTGGAATACAGCGTCCGAGCCGCGGCGCGCCGACAGCTGCTTTACACGCACTGACACGGACCGCGGTACCGCGGTACACAGTGTGGTACACACAGCGCGCCCTTTGGGGCCACAAACAGCCTCGAGGAACAAAAGGGCCTCGGGGGCCTACAAAGTGGGCGAGTGCCGTGTCACTGTGCGTCACTACACTGCAGCGGCGGCAACGCAGCACCGTGCACGCGCTGCCGGGCTACGGCAACGAGCTCCCCCCCATCTCCCCTTTCCGTCTCTTCTCTCTCTCTCTCTCTCTCTCTCTCTCTCTCTCTCTCGCACTCATGGGCGCCCCGTGTAGGCGCGACAGAGACAGAGCGACGAAGACGACTCTCAGTCTACGGGCCACGCTAGGCTGCGCTAGGCTGCGCCAGGATGCCCGTGCCCGCCGACCCCGAGAGGGCCCGCTGCTACGCGCTGCTACGCGCTGCTACGCGCCGCCTAGAAGAGTTATGGAGAAAGACCGGGAACAGAGAGAGAGAGGGGGGCACGGAGGTGACCCCGGGAAAATGAGAGGGGGAGGGGAGGGGCCGGTCATAAACGCATAAATCAAACAACGCACACGACGCTCTGCAGCGCCGCGTGGGGATACGCCCGAGGGGCCGCGCCTAAATCGGCGAACGGGCATTCGAACTCGCCGCGCCGAACGGTGGACTGGAACACCGGGCGACCGAGGGTGCGGCGCGTTCTGCGGACGGCGTCGTCGGCCGAGCGGGGAGTGCCAGCAGGCAGGCAGGGAGGAGGGTGCACGCTTCGGGGCCCGCGTGTTATAGCCGACGCGCGAGCAGCGCGAGCAACAATTCATTTAATTTTATTACTTTTTTTACGAAATTAATTACTTTTCCAGAGTTTCAGCCGCCGCTGCCGCCGCTTTGGGACACGCCTAGCCTATAACTACTGTGCGGCGCGTCCAGTCCCATCCCCCGTGTGATCCTGGCCAGGAGCGCGCGACGAAACAAGCACACTATAAAGTGGAGGGGGAAGGGGGGGGGGGCAATTAGAGGCAACGCCACTGGATTAATTCATTGCGGAGTAATAGCGGGTCGGCAAAGCGTCGATGAGAGGGAGAGAGAATGCACCTGCGCTACCTCTATCTCTGTGTGTGTGTGTGTGTGTAAGAAAAATGTGGGGGAGGGGGGCAGCCTCATCGAATGTAGAGCCACAGCGGTGGGTACTAACTACGTAACGAGTATGCGACCACACACACACACACTCACACACACGCGTGCGCGTTCCGGAAGGGCCGTGTCATTTTCCCCATCGGTGTCCCATTGGGTCGGTTAGGCTCGGTACGAACGGGCCGGCGCGGCTCAGACAAAGGCGAATCTGCATCTCAATGAATGGATGGATGAATGCACTGCGGTGCGTTTTGTGGCGGCACGCCTGCAGCAGTAGTAGTAGTACCTCCTCTCTCTCTCTCTCTCTCTCTCTCTCTCTCTCTCTCTCTCTCTCTCTCTCTCTCTCTCTCTCTCTCTCGGTCGGTACCTTCCATGTTCAATGAGGTATGCCACTCATTTCCCGCGCCACTGGGCACCAGGCCTGCCGGCATGCTCGTGTGACTCCACGTACGTGCGTGTGTGTGTGTGTGTGGCACGCAACCCCACCGCGGTAAATACTGCATGCGCGAACCGCGCTGGCGCCAAGCGACCCGTAAGAGCGCTCGCTGCACTTCGATTCCGTTCGCCTCTCTCGCTCTCGCGGGCCTTCCGGCAGGGGTGAGAGAGAGAGAGAGAGAGAGAGAGAGGAGAGAGAGAGAGAGAGAGAGAGAGAGAGAGAGAGAGAGAGAGAGAGAGAGAGAGAGAGGGCGGCGAAGGGGGAGCGCCACGGACTGCACGTCGCCGTCGATGACGCAAGGGCGTCTGCACGTCCCTTCGCCACTCGGGGATAATTGCGTGGCGTGTGTGTGTGTGTGTGTGTGTGTGTGTGCGTGTGCTCGGTGTGGCCAGCTGGTCAGCCGGTCACTCGGCCGGCCCATCTCGCCGCGCCCAGTCTATTTATAAGGATTGCCCCCCCCCCCTCGGGGTGGTGGCCCGGCGCACCCTTTCCTGGTCGAGGACCGCGGCGGCCACTCCCCGCAGTGTGTTGACTCGAGGCGAAGGACGCATGACGACGAAGAGGGGCAGGAGGACGACGCGAGCCGCGTCCGAATGCGAGATCCGAGGAACGCGTAAACCGTAAACTCAGTCTGGTGTAAGCGAGTCTTGGCAAAGAGGCGCCGCCCGAAGCGCCGCACCGCCCGAGGCTCAGTCAGTCAGCAGACGATCCGTCGCTCTGTCTCTCTCGCACGCACACGCGACGCCCCGTGAGTGCGAGAGAGGCGGTCTGACTAGGCCAGGGCAGGGCGGAGGGGCGCAAGCCGCTAACTGGCGCCACGGGATGCTGCCCATTATCACCGAGAAGCCAAAGCGGAACGGCGGTCGTCGCCGAAAAAAAAGAAAAGACGAGCTTCTGGACGCTTTTGCCTGTCTGCATCCCTCCTTGCGACCACCGCTCCCTCTCCCCCGATGCGTTGCCCGATTTCCCCAGGTGTTGTTGTTGTTCCCGATGCGCAGTACTTGCTCTGCGACCGTCCGCCCGGGCCGCCGCCACCAACCTGCAACAAGAAAGGCCGAGTCAGAGAGAGAAAGAAGAACATGCGTCGCACTAAAGTGAATCGCACTCGGGGCTGCCGCCGCGCTGCCTGCCCTGCCGGCCGGCCTGCTGCTGGCCGAGTCGGGGTGGCAGTAAACCTACGAGGGCGGCCGAGCCACTCCGAGCTCTGTCTCTCTCTTCCTCCGCCACGCGGCGCCGCCCCGCGTGAGTGCGACGGAGATGGCGTCTCTTCGGAAAGGGGCGGCGACTTTGTTGCGCCGGACAGCGCGGTAAAGTCCTAAAGTCCTAAAGTCCCCCAGTCGTGCTGCGCCGCGCTGACCACTGACCCCACACTGCAAGACGCCGCCGCCGGCCGGCCGGGTTGACCCGCCTGGGTTGTCCACG